GTTTTGAGATTACCACCATACCACCCAGATAAAATAATGTAGCTCAAAAGAATATTAATTTTAAATTAGCACATGTACAAATGTTGGCTGAAATTGAATTTAAATCAGTAACTCAAGAAGACTGAAAAAAAATATGTGCACATCTAATAGCTGTTGAAGATGAATATTTAAATCGCGAAATTATAATGGATGCCGTTGTAATCCCTACAGTTAATATTAATGTTAATGAAGACAGCAGTGATAGTTCTAGTGATAGTGATGATTTTGATGATGATTTTTTAGAACTCTGTTAATTTGTTTATGTTTATTTTGTTTGGTAGTAGTTATAGTAACAAGGAATAGAGGTTAGTATAAATTCAGTATTTGTTGACCTATATCATATTTTAAAAAAATCCTCGTTGTCTTATTTTAATGTGTGTATCCTGATGACTTTCACCGCTTCTACTCCACCTTCACATTTTGTTAAAATATTAAAGATATCAAGTGCAAAATCACCATTTTTTTTTTCACCCAATAAATTTTTTTAACAGAATACATTTTAGGTCATAGATAACAAATTCTCAAATTCTGTAGTACTTAAAACCCTATTCACATAATTGCGTTTGATCCATTGTGTAGGTAATCTGGTATTTCCTATAATATCATCAAATGATAGCCATTCTTAGAAACGAGGGCGGACTCGATTTGACCAGTACAGAAACCCCTTTTCTATCTTCGAGTGGTTCTGGCAAAGTCAATGCAATATCTGATTCATTTACCGTGTCAATATCGTCTGCAGGAAGCCAATCAAATCTTGTCGTATCTTGTCGTTTAGTTGAAATTCGTTTTAAAAATTTTACTTTCCATTCATCTTCCACATGTCGTGTTACACGCCCAACATAGTGCTTCGTGTTCTTCTCTGACGTGTACTCATTTCAGTTATTTTACTTTTTGATTTAATTCGTTTTCTTCTCTGTCCTGAATTTATCTTTCTTGCACTATATTCTGTATTATCTGATTCTTTGTATTCTATTTCTTCCACTTCGTCTTCATCATTGCTACTAATATCTTCTTTCTTGCGGCACCTTAATTTAACTGTGTTTTGTTTTTTGAGTTGCTCACTCTCTTTAGTTTTTTGTAGACGCTCTAACACATCTTGAGACGTTAAGACTTTTGAGTCTGTACCTACTCTCTTACGCCGTATACTTTCTGGTCGAGGGCTTTGCTTGATCATTTCAAATAGCAATGTTTTAAAGTTTTTTGCTCCATCTTTGATGGTATCTGCAGTAGACGACGTTGACGGCAGTAGTTCTGCATTTGAAGCTAAATTACTTGTTTCATTAACAGATCCCTATAATGTGGATGTTTGCTGTTTCATCAGAATTGGTCCCTTGGTTTATTTTCATTTTGTGCCAACGACGTAATGCCTCTGGACAAAATATTTTTTATCTGGCATGACTGTTCGGTCAAATGGGTATATTCCTCCTTTTATAAAACCATTCTGTATCACCTCAGGGGACAGAAGTCTCCAGGTGTCCCCTAAAAACTTTGAAAATAGAGATTTTGGTAGCTTACGTCCAATATTTTGGCGTTGCCATGATACTAGTTTTTTATCCCATTTGTCTTTAAAAGGCTTGAATACTGACAAGTCTAACGGTTGAAGCAAATTTCTGCTGTGCGGAGGTAATTTAAGAATTGTTATGTTTTCTAGAATTACTAACTGTATTACCTCAGGGCTAATATGAGTCGAATGTCCATCATATATGATAATAGCAGGACGATTTTCACCCAGAGTTGATAAAACAGTGCACTGAAAATAGTTTTTAAATATATCTGTCTCCTTCCAGCCCTTTTTTGATGCCGCGTAAACAGTTCCAGGGTAACCAGATCCTTGCGGAGCACACCATTGATCATACATGTGTAGTCCTTTATAGATAATTAGTAGCGGAGCCTTTTCGCCTGCAGCATTCGCCATTAATAAAATTGTTGTGTTTTCCCTCCCTGGACCACTAGTAATTCTGGTTGCAGATTTTTCCTTTTCCCTCACAACACGGGTCTTGGTAGGATCAATACACAGACTGGATTCGTCAAGAATCCAAATATTAGATGGCTTGTTTCTAATTTAAAGGTTGTCTAATGTTGATTCGAGAAGATCAAAATATTTAAAAATTGTAAAAGGATGTGCAGCTTTTTGCCTGGCGTACTCCATATCTTGTGGCTTTTTTATGCTTAAGCCATGTCGTTTTTTAAATCTAATAAACCAGTCCTGCCCTAGTTACTGATTTTTGGAGGGGGTTGGTAAATTATTTGTTTTCATATATTGTCCCACAAGGTGTAGCACCTCCTTCCTCGACAAACCAAAGCCCCATTTTTCTAGTGTTCTCAGTCCGGTGGCTAACGTCTGTTCAAGTTGAGGTGAAAGAATCGCGCGACGCCCTTTTCCTTTTTTTATTTGCCCGCGGGAACCTTTACAGTTAGTGTATATTGTTGAATAAGGTACATTAAATACCTTTGCAGCTTTCCTAGCAGTCAAACGACCTGCCTTTACTTCTAAAATAGCTTCTTTTAAGGTATTTTTATTATAGGTAGGGCCGTTGGTCTTTTTAATATAGTTCCTAACCATGACTCCTAAAACGGAGAAGATACTATTGGAACAGCAACCTTTACAATTTATCAATTTTTTTTAGCCATCAACAATGCTGCTAAAAACATTTTTACACAATAAACATACCACCTAAAGTGTAATTCTAAGATCAAATTTACCTGTCTAATATTTACTCAGTCCTAGAAATAGGCTATGGATTTTACTAACTCGAACTAAAAACTGCGGCCTAAAAATCTTTGTTTTCAACGACAGAATAACAAGTCGCAGCAAAGAGTGGTAAGTCTAGAATAGAAGCAGCATACTCCCTCACAACAAAACATGCTCATGCCGCCCTCTCAAACATATCTACAGAACTGTTATTACTGAATAATACATTTACCCCATAGACCTTTTCATCATGTGATGAGCGCAAGCGCAGCCACCATGTTGAAATAGCGGTAATTCAAAAGTTTCGTACTGTTTTGATCGACAATGGCTGGGAAAGCAATGTTATCTCTACAGAAAAATTAATCATTAGAAAAAATCGTTGATAGTGAATAACTTTTTTATAACTCTATGGAAGCGCATAATTGTGAGCAGTTGAAAAGGACGTTGAAGTGTCTTGGATGTTTGTTACAAAGGAACAAAGTGGACTAATTGAGAGGTTAGGTGTATCAATACTTTTTAACTCTGTAAAAAATTAATGAAAACAAATAATAATTATAACTTTATTCTAATTAATTATGCCAACCAACTATTACTACTTGCAAAAACACTTTAATTAGCATGAAAGTTAATCACGAGTATAATTAATAAAATAAATTATTTATTATTTTGAGGATCAATATGACATTTTTAATCATTTATTGTGTATATCGAAGTAGTATTTAATATTAAAAAAATATTGTTTAATACCAGGTGAGAATTTTCTTCTGTTGGACCACTTTCTCCATGAAAATGCAGTGAAATATAAGTATCTTTAGTAACATCATTAATCCATCGAAAACCGTTGTCACTTCGACCATATTTTTTCACACTTAATGCACATTTCAAATATCTTTTAATATGGATTTTGCCTGATAATTGTTTACGATATTGCAGTTAAGGCTTTGGAAAATTTATAAAATAATATCTATTGCCTTTGAATGATTTATACCGTGTGTCACTTTTACATAACAACACTGTTTCGTTGTTCCTTTCCGTACAGATAACATAATTATAATTGATTGTGAAAATGTATTTTTCAATTAAGACACTAAACTTATTATTAGGTACTTTACTTTTTTCTTCCTTTTTTTAAATGAATATAGACTTAAATTAATATTTATCAATTATAATTTTTTTCACGTAAGCGTTTTAACATACTTGTTTACAAAAACAGTACGAAAAAGATGGCTGAAACTGACGCATGCGCACAAAAAAAAATTGTGATGAAAAGGTCTATTATTACATTTGCTCCAGCTTACCTTACTTAAAATTTTACAAATATAATAAACTAATATTAAGAGTAAGTTTACTAATAACCAATTTTATTACCTAAAAATATAATGAAACTAAAACTAATATTTCTTACTCATAATATTAAACTTTAGCCAATATTATTAGACTAATAAGTTTTATGAAACAGGCCCCTGTAAATGGGCCATAAGCCTGTTAGATGTATTATTACTAAATAAATAAATTGTTTATTGTGCGTTATTTTATTATTTATTGTTTCGGCCTTTACTTGATGAAAATCCATTTAATTTTGAAAGAGTAAAACCAAATTTGGTAGATTTTCACACTTTTATTTTAAAAATAAAAATTTTTTTAAACAAACACTAACATGACATATGTTTCGAAGTACACATTTGAAAAAGAAGTTGTACTTCGAAACATATGTCATGTTAGTGTTTGTTTAAAAAAAATTTTTATTTTTAAAATAAAAGTGTGAAAATCTACCAAATTTGGTTTTACTCTTTCAAAAAAAAAAAAAAACGTTATTTTATTCTTGTGCCAATTTGTCCTTGTTGCCTTGCATTATTCTGTCCTTCCGCCATTTTGTCGTTGCGCCATTTTGTCCCGCGGAATTTTTTCCTGCGCTATTTTGTCGCTGCGCTGTTTTGTCATATAGCCCTTTATATGCCTACTTTAATTCAATTAAAAAATATTATTGCGTGACTGTAAAACTGTAATTGAAACAAAAAATTATTTCACCTTGCATTCAATTGTTTGAATAATAAATCTTAATAGATAATACTTAATAGATAATGTATTTTATTGATAAGATGTATTATTTATCTTGATTGGCATGTTAATTAAAAAAAAATCAATACCCGACTTACATAGAATTATCAGAAAGTGCTTTTGTAAAACCCATATAGAAAAGATATAAATATCTGATCTATTATTTTGGTTACAATGGTTTAATGAAACATACCGGTTTGTAGATAACAATTTACTTCAGTGCGAGGTGTCGTTTTAACTTATAGTGAACATGGAATTGATTTTACCTGATACAGTTTTAGAAAGTTGTGTTTGCAATTTTTGCGATAAATTTTTAAGTGTACAGCCAGTTAAAATTTATAAAAATCATACAATAAAATGTGGAAGGTGTTCAAAAAAAGATGATAATGGTACTAAATCTATTTACAATATTATTGCAGCAAATGGAATATTTAAATGCATCAATAGATTCGAGGGCTGCAGAAAAATGTTGCGTCATTATGAAGTGTTAGAGCACGAAAAACAATGTCTTGGTAATACTATTTGTTGTCCACTTTGTCCAGGATTGTGTGGATTACGGATATTTTGGATGATTTTTCATTTCAAAAAATGCCATATTGATAAGTATTTAAAAAAGCCATGCTTTACAATAAACAGAGATAAAATCAATAACACTTATCTATTTAGAAAAGATGATAATTTGTTTTTTATATCATACAAGATTCAAGACAATGGAGATATTTACTTAAAAGGATGTAATATAAATCCGTCAAATGTACAGACAAGTATGAGTTTTTTTCTTCTAACCAAATCTAGTATAATAGAAGCTAGAAAATTAAATTTAAGTGACAACAAAAACGAATTTCGTATTAAGAAAAAAGATATTCTGGAAACTACCGATATGAGGATAAAATTTGAAATAGAAACGTTGCCACATTTTTTCGTCCTATCAAATTCTTCTGTTCCAACCATGGAGGCAGAAAATCAAGTGAAAAGAATTTTAGAAAACTTTCAACGTTTTACAAAGTTTTACTATAATCAGGATATTACATTTCCCCGGAAAATTACAATGACCTCTGGACATCAAGAAGAAACACAATTTTTAATGAGTCATGATCGAACTTACATCATAAAAAAATGTGGAAGTGAAACGTATAATATTTTTCTTGAATGTTGTAATTGCGTGAATATATTTTTACCACCAACTACTTTATTAAACGGTTTCTTTGTAAAAATCAAAAACTACTTTTTTAATATTTGCAGTAATTGTTTTCAGTATTTGTATTCAAAAAATAAAATGATCACTTATGTATCGTTTCAATCAGTTTTGGAAAATATAAATACTTTTTTCTTTGACTGTAGTTGGAACTGCGGCAAAAAATTTCCATTAACCCAATTACATGTACATGAATTTTTTGTAGTCTGTCCTATAGAAAATTGTTGGAAAATAATTTCAAAAAATGAGTTTGGAAACCATTTTAAAAATGTTCATTCTCTTACTTTAGCATCAAATGCATATTTCATATCTCTCAATGATAATTTTAATTCAATCACATGGTTATCATTAATGACATGTTTTGTAAAGTTAAGTTGTATACAATTTACAGACCATATAACATTGTTAATGAATGTGCATTACTCTTATAATGTAACTAATGTTCGAGTAAAAGGAATCGTATTTGATGAACAAAAAAAAGTAGTTGGTGAATTAGAAGACGGCCAGATTTTACATGTTTTAACTAATTCTTCAACTAGAATTAAGTGTCATTTTTCTTATTATTGGGACGAATAGATCATGTATTGGAATATTTGGATGTGGTTTGAGATGGGTATTTACTTGGCATTAGGGCAAGGGTTATGGTAGAGCCCACTTTTAAATTTGATTTTCGCAAAAAATATGTGCGTGTAGATAAAGGTTAAATCTGTGCTAAATTAAAGACACTTTTTTAAAATTTTATATACAAAAATACAAATTTCGCCTCAATTTATCAATAAAATGAAATTGAATTTAAAAAAAAAACTGGTTCCAGAAGACCACTGATTTAACCTTTACCTACACCTAAATATTTTAGATTTGTAGGAAAATATTATTTGTAAATAAAAATAATTTATATTATCTTTTTTTGATGTTATAAGCAATACAAATAAATTTTACGTATAATTAAAACTTATTTTTAATTGTTTTTATTTTTTCATAAATAAATTATGTAATACTAAGATTAATATTTAGTGTAGCCAAGAGTTTCATTGTACACCATTTTTAAGAAATTTTATTTTTAGTTCAAGAATAAATCTGTATTTTCTCTGTGCGTGACAGCAGCGCCAACTAATTTATGAACTAACGGACCATATTTGCGTATTATACTGACAATATAATTTTTTATAGAATTTGTAAATAAAGAATATATATGTTGGTTTTAATAGCGTTTTAATAAGCGATAATATTAATTTAATATTATATACCGGATGTTCAAATTAAAGTGTTACAGTCAAATACCGCCGAAAATATGCATTTTAGAAAAAAAAGTTTCAGACAAAAGTTTTATAGTTTTTTGGGGGAAACATTTTGGCTAAATTTATTTTTTGTAGCTGACCATAATATGGCCATATCGAGGTAGACTTTATTTTTTCTAAATGGGAATCTCATTTTTTGTACATAAAAAAATAAGAAACTTTTGAGAAAAATATTTTTTTTATTGGACTTTTACTTTTTGAGTAACAGATACTTGAAAATGTTACACCATTTTAAAAAAAAAATATTTTTAATTCAAAAAAAAATCTGTAAGTATTTTCTCTGTGGGTGACAGCAGCGCCAACTAATTTTTGAACTAACGGACCATATTTGCGTATACTGATAATATAATTTTTTATAGAATTTGCAAATAAAGAATATATAATATGTTGATTTTAATAGAAGGTTATGGATTTGTAAAAGAAGCGATTTAATATTATATATTTTATTACTTCATCTTAAAAATAAGTAAGTATCAGTAAAATCAATATTAAAACATAGGCAGGCAACAGTATTTACAAGAAAATGAATGAGAAGTTACCTAAGCTTAATAAGTTGTCATTGAACAATAGGTTAAATATTCGATCATGTATTGGAATAGATACGCCTTGTTTACATAAACAATAAGGTCCATAATCGCATGCACAACAAACGATGGTACCAGCAGAGGTTGCCACAGTGTCTGTTTCGATTAAAAGTATAAGGATAATAATGATTAGATCCCAATGTTTCAAGGTTCAAGATACTTAATATGAAGCTTAATATTTAACAGTTAATTCATGAATCTGGATTATAATTATAAAATTTCTCATTTAATTTTTTCTGCATTGAATCCGTGTTTAAATTAGATGTTTTTAGATTTTATTCACTAGAATACATCGGTTTAACCATTAAATACTCTATTTAAACTGAACTTTTGTATATGTTTTTTAAAGTATTGTTGGGTGTTTAATTTTAGCGGAATATTCTTGTTTTATTTATTTATTTATTTATATAAAAGAAATTGTCTGCAACACGTGATTATACATTTCAAAAAAGTAAAGAGGTAAATAGTTTTCCGAACATTTTGGACCAAAACCAACCAAAACCAATGCTCGATATTTTCACAGGTAGGTTATGTCAAAATCAATCTCATGAAATGTAAATAATGTAGATATCCATGGGCGTAAAAACTATGTTGTCGTCTGTGTGCAGCTTCGGCGTGGTTGTTCGTTCTGTCTGTACCCTCCAAAACGCGGTTGTAGACAGACCACAATGTGATCGGAAAGAGTGGATCGCGCCTTCTTCGACCCTATAGTTGAGGACGTCCTACGTATGAGTCCTCGAACCATTCTATTAGAGATTGCAACTCTTTAAACAATTCTCAAAATAAATGGTCGATTGCAATATCCATGTCTTCATCAGGAACAAATGCCAAAGATGTCACCATTCGTGCATGAAGACTGAAATCAGCATCGGTATTATATCGACCCAGCTAATTCATTTACGCCAAAAAACAACCATTAGCTCTGCATTTGGAAACTCTTCTTTGAAAGCGTTTATGACATCCAGTTCAAAATCGCATGAAATCTTCTCCGGATTTGTATCTGGCTGTAAATGTCCCATCAAACCAATAATTTTGACATAATGCAGTTTGTTGTTTGTTGGGCAGGAGAGCATAAAGAACAATATGAACGCCTCCAAATTATTTAGCCATAATTATGTAGGTAAAAAATTGAGGCAGTTGGTTTAAATGTTCCATCAACAAACCAATGTTTTGAGTCCTTCAAAGTCTGTAAATACAGGGTGTTTCTAAATTCATGCGTCTAAATTAAGATGGGTCTTTCCTACAACAAAATTTCCTCAGCCCATGCCTTTCCGAGATATCACCCTTAAAAGGTGGTGACTAAAATTGAGTTTTTATTTTTTTTTCTAAAATTTCAGTAAAGCTAGAAACTTGAAATTCTGTAATTTTCGTGCACTCACAAAGGACTAACCCTCGGATATTTTTTCAATATTCCTGTTACATTATAGGGGGGGGGGGGGTGAAATTAACAACCCTTACTTTATTTCATATCAAAACTTTTTTTGAGATGAAGTTTCATGAAATAAAATAATAACTTAAAATCCTTGTTTTATTTAAAAAAAAATTTTATTCCTAAATTTTTTTCCCAAAACCAATAGCTTCCGAGAAAAAAAAACACTATAATTTATAATTTTTTTAATAAATTGAGTGGAAAACAGTAAAGATGTAAAATTTAATACGATTTATAATATTGAAAAAATACCCGAGGTTAGTCCTTTACGAGTGCACGAAAATTACAAAATTTCAAGTTTCTAGCTTTACTGAAATTTTAGAAAAAAAAAAGTAAAACTCAATTTTAGTCACCACCTTTTCAGTGTAATATCTCGGAAAGGGGTGGGCTGAGGAAATTTTGTTATGGGAAAGACCCATCTTAATTTCATACGAGCAATCACCTCCTGAATTTTGTTGCATGAATTTACAAACACCCTGTATATAGATATATATTGTAATGGAAATGAATTATCGACATTTAAGATCAAAAATTGGTTAACTGTTAAATCTAACTAGGATCAGGTACCTAAAATATGACAATGAACTACTTAATATAACATTATGTATCAATATTAATATTTAGGTAATTCATTAAAAATCTTTTTAGGTACCTAATTTTTAGAAATTAATTGTTTATGCCTTTCATAGATACTGCAGCTATCTATCAATGCTTACTGCGAATATTTAAGGTGATTACAGCACCCCCTTATAATTTTCGGACAAGGATATCTCAAAAAGTAATTTTTTTAAAAAATTAAAATTTTGGCAAAATATATTAGGCAATAATATCTAGAATATACATATATTTTAAAGTTTTAATTCCTTCCAGTTTTCGAGAAAAAAAATCAAAGGGCTTTAAATTTTGAAATATCATAATGAAAATAAATGCATTCCTCAACAGCAGTATTCCTAATATAATCCCCAAATTTAAGCTCTTAATCTCTTGTTAATGATTTTTTAAAATTCGCCGAAATTAGTGGCTAAAACGCCTTGTTAAGTTCTATTTTCTGGTTTAAACTGGTGTAAACTGGTGTAAATCGTTGCAAGAAACGAATGATGACTCAGAGTGTACGATACGATAGTTACAGACGCGTTACACTAGAAAGAAGCACTTAACGAGACGTTTTAGCCACTAATTTCGGCGAATTTTAAAAAATCATTAAACAAGAGATTAAGAGCTTAAATTTGGGAATTATATTAAGAATACTGCTGTTGAGGAATACATTTATTTTCATTATGATATTTCAAAATTTAAAGCCCTTTGATTTTTTTTCTCGGAAACTGGAAGGAATTAAAACTTTAAAAAATATGCATATTCTAGATATGATTGCCTAATTTATTTTGCTCAAATTAAAATTTTCTAAAAAAATTACTTTTTGAGATATCCTTGTCCGAAAATTATAAGGGGGTGCTGTAATCACCTTAAGAAACAAGATAAATTGCCCAATTTTATACAAAGAATAGATCTGCAAAAAAATAGACATTTCAAATATTTTTTTTGTATAATTTATTACTTACTTAAAAAAATTTACATCTGGCGTCGAAACGGCCCGGTGTCGAATCGGCCGGCATCGAAATGTCCTCGCGTCGAATCGGCCGCGTCGAAACGGTCGCGTCGAAACGGCTGCGTCGAAACGTCCCATTCCGAAAAACTAGTTAGATGTACAATCTATAATTTTATGTAAAAATTTTCCTAGTAAATGAATATTGCTATTAAATAATTATAGTGGAAAAGAATTAACAACCATAGAAAAAATTGAATACATACTCGTATATATTGGTAACGGAATTATTATTTTTATTTTAACAAATACTTAATACATAACTACTAATATTTGTAGGTAGCATTAGTTTTTGGATTATCTTGCGCTTGTCGTTGCCACGAACTAAAAGATTTAACAATAAGCGATGTAAAGGATACTGAAAGTATTCTGTTAGTTAAAATCCGTAATACAAAAACAAAAGTTCCGCATTCTTTTCATATTTCTGGACCCTTTTATGATATTTCTAAAAAATATATGAGCCTACGTCCCGCAAACATGGATCAAATTAATTCAAGATTCTTTATTAACTATCAGAATGGAAAGTGTAGCAGACAGGTTGTTGGAATTAATAAAATCAGTAAATTTCCTAACGAAATTGCTCAGTTTTTAACGCTTCCGAATCCTCAAGATTACACTGGGCACTGTTTCCGCAGAACATCCGCAACGCTATTAGTGGATGCAGGAGGTGACTTGCTTCTGTTAAAAAAGCACGGTGGTTGGAAATCTAGTAGTGTTACGGAAGGATATGTTGATGAATCCACGAACAGTAAAAACCAAATACAAACCAAAATTTTACAATCTGTACAAAATAAGGAAACTACTAGTTCATCCGATTATGGCGCATCATCATCTGAAATGACATTTAACAGTAGAACAAATATGTCGGCATCTACCTCAATAAATAAAAAGCTTGAGTTTGATACCCCCATAATTTTGAATAAATCAATATTTAAATAATAAATAATATTTCTGAAATATTTAATTGTTGGTTAATTTTTTGTTATTCCTAACACAAAATAAAGCATTTGCTAACGTTTGTTTTTTTTTATTTTAGTAGGTACCTACATGACATAATAGAGTTCGTAGAAAAATTATAGTGTTTTACTCGTCAAAAATCATTTTTTTCGTCACTCGTGAAACAATATACTATTTTTAAAACGGCTTACCATATTTTTAAAAATTTGCCCATCAGTAACTTATGTGGTGGGTATATTGGGTGATTTTTTTTATATTTTTTGAACATAAGATTTACTTTTTTGCTTGCGTAAGATAAACCTTAATTTTATTTAATTTAAATAAACTTATTATTTATCTTGATAGCAACGTTAATTAAAAAAATACATACTTTAAATTATCAGAATAGTATTTCTGTAAAACCCATATAGAAAAGATAACTCTATTATCTGATCTATAAATTCTGTAGCAATGGTTTGTAGAAAATATTGCAGTGTGAGTTGTTTATTTAAGTTATAGTGAAAATGTCATTGATTATACCGGACACTGTTTTAGAAAGTTGCGTGTGTTCTTTATGCAAGAAATTTTTGAGTGTGCAGCCAGTTAAAATTTATCAAAATCAAAAACAAAAACTAAAATGTGGAAGGTGTTCAAACAAAGATGACAATGGTACTGAATCTCTTTACAATATTATTGCAGCAAATGGAATATTTAAATGCATCAATAGATTCGAGGGCTGCAGAAAAATGTTGCGTCATTATGAAGTGTTAGAGCACGAAAAACAAAGTCTTGTTAATACTTTTTGTTGTCCAGTTTGTCCTGGATTGTGTAAAGTACGGATATTTTGGATGATTTTTCATTTCAAAAAATGCCATATTGATAAGTATTTAAAAAAGCCATGCTTTACAATAAACAGAGATAAAATCAATAACACTTATCTATTTAGAAAAGATGATAATTTGTTTTTTATATCATACAAGATTCAAGACAATGGAGATATTTACTTAGAAGGATGTAATATAAATCCGTCAAATGTCCAGACAAGCATGAGTTTTTTTCTTCTGACTAAATCTAGTACAGTAGAAGCTAGAAAATTAAATTTAAGTGACAACAAAAACGAGTTTCGGATCAAGAAAAAAGATATTTTGGAAACTACGGATATGAGGATAAAATTTGAAATAGAAACGTTGCCAAATTTTTTCGTCCTATCAAATTCTTCTGTTCCAACCATAGAGCCAGAAAATGAGGTGAAAAGAATTTTAGAAAACTTTCAACGTTTTTCAAAGTTTTACTATAAAGAGAATATTACATTTCCCCGGAAAATTACAATGGCCTCTATACATCAAGAAGAAACAAAATTTTTAATGAGTTATGATCGAACTTACATCATAAAAAAATGTGGAAGTGAAACGTATAATATTTTTCTTGAATGTTCTAATTGCGTGAATATATTTTTACCATCAACTACTTTATTTAATGGTTTCTTTTTAAAATTCAAAAACTATTTTTTTAATATTTGTAGTAACTGTTTTGAGTATTTGTGTTCAAAAAATAAAATGGTCGCTTATGAGTCGTTTGAATCAGTTTTGGAAAACATAAATACTTTTTTCTTTGACTGTAGTTGGAACTGCGGCATAAAATTTCCATTAACTCAGTTACATGAACATGAATATTTTGTACACTGTCCTATAATTAATTGTAAGAAAATTATTTCAAACAACGAGTTTGGAAACCATTTTAAAAAAGTACATTCTCTTACTTCAGCATTAAATTCATATTTCATATCTCTCAATGTTAATTTTAATTCCATCACATGGTTATCATTAATATCATGTTCTGTACAATTAAGTTGTAAGAAATATAAAGACCATATAACATTATTAGTAAAAATGCATTACACGTATTTTAATGTTACCAATGTTCGTGTAAAAGGAATCGTATTTGATGAACAAAAAAAAGTAGTTGGTGAATTAAAACACGGCCACGTTTTAAATATTTTAGTTAATTCTTCAACTAGAATTAATTGTTATTTTTCATATTATTGGGACGAATAGATCATGTATTGGAATATTTGGATGCACTGAAAGAAATGCGGTCTAATCATTACCAGAATTCTCGTACCTTTTATTTAACTGTTTTATACTGTATGGGACAGCCAAACGAGCTGTTGCTGATATGGAACAAGAATTGCTAGAACCTTTCATAACCGTTAATATACGGACTATAGACATAATACAACACGGTTTGTTAAAGGTTACCAATGCATTACTTATTGACAGTAAAATCTTCGTATTATTATTATTATACAATCGTTCACATAAAAATAAGTGAACTACTCTATGAGGTGTAAAAAAATGTATTGATAATAAAACCAGCTTTAAAGTTTATAAGCTATTGTCATACGGATTATCATTCACTTATATTCTCATAATATCATAGAATACGACTGTTTATAAAATGTTCTCATAGTTATTATGAATTAGTTTTATAGTGGATATGCGACTATACTATATTTAGAAGCTAACCAAAATACGAAAAAATTGATAATTTTAAGCATTTGGTTTATTGTATAGCGGGCACAGGAATAAACGAATTTAAATAAATTTTTGGTTATTAGAAAATTGTGGAATAAACATTAATTTGCCATAGATTTATCATCAAAAAAATACGGATTGAAATAAAGAAATTTTACATTTGATAGATAATACAATTTTTTATAGCGGCCCTTAAATTTTGAAATATAAATGTATAATAACCCACCATCTTCTTATAATTAAAAAATTATTAAAATTTGTTCATTATTGTGCCTGCTAGACAAAAAAATGTTTAAAATTGCCATTTTTTACCTATTTTGGCTAGCAGAGCAATAAATTTGTTTTCGATTTCCTTTTATATGGTTTATTAAAAAAAAAATTATCTAAAAACATTTATTTTACAATAATTATATTTTTATAAAACATAAAAATGCAAAAATAACTTTTTTTCCTAAAAAATAATATTGGGAAAAAAGTTATTCTTTATAAAAAGTCGAGCATGGTCTAAAACCTAAAATGCAACCATCAGATATCAAATTTAATCAGTCTTATAAAGAATAAAGGTACTTTACTCTTGAGTAAAACTGATATTTTTTGACAAACCTCGTATACCACTAAAAAAAATTGATATTTGATGACTGTATTCTAGGTTTTAGATAATGCAGAACTTTTTATGAAGAATAACTTTTTTCCTAAAATTAATATTAAAAAAGTTTTCCATAAGAAATAAGTACATATTGATGAATGAGAATTCTGTGGACTTTTTATGTTCTAATTTTTTTGTGAAAAAAATATGACCTAATATACAAACGTTTAACATTGGCAGCAACCAATAATATTAAATTATGACTTTTTATTATGCATGTAATTAAAAATACCATATTATCACTGGATAGCAAATAAAAAAAATTCTTGAGGCAGTAATTTCTTAGACTGATGTCAACACTTTCTAATGAGACAAAATAAAAAGTTTTTATTTCACTATTCAAAAGACACACTGTACATTTTCATGTGCGTAGAAGAAAATGAAATAACATAAAAACTTTCTGTTTTAGCTCAGAAAGTGGTGACGTCAGTGTAAAGAACCGCTGCCTCAATAATAGTCTCTAAATAAGCTTCCATGTTACACAAGATCACAAGCAAAACACTGGTTCGTATCCTAACTAAAACTAACCTAAAACTAACACACGTGCACACACAATAGGTTAGTGGCGTAGCGGGTCCCCCACCACCAAAATCTGTATGTTTCTGGTAATGATAACAGAAAGGGTCTTATGGAATATAAAACGGGATCACTATGATTATAATGCGTTTTAGAGTGATAATAGATATCAGATTGTATAAAACTGAATCTGCTGGTTATAAGTCAATTCAGTCGGCGCTATAAGAATTTTTGTTTTCGAGTATGCTACCGCGGTAATGAAATAAAAAATATAGGGATTAATTGACTGATTTACTATAGTAGTAAGATATTGCTTACTCTCTATCAATATTCCTATAAGTATTATGATACTTAGTCTGGCAAAACTGCTGCATTAATCTATTTCTTTCTGTGTGTGGTTTAAGAAGGGTATTTACTTGGCATTAGAACAAGGGTTTCGTAGAGCCCACTTTTAAATTTGCTTTTTGATAAAAAAAAATATGTGCGTGTAGATAAAGGTTAAAGACACTTTTTTAAAATTTTATATAAAAAAATACAAATTTCGCCTCAATTTATCAATAAAATGAAATTGAATTTAAAAAAAACTGGTTCCAGAAGACCACTGATTTAACCTTTACCTACACCTAAATATTTTAGATTTGTAGGAAAATATTATTTGTAAATAAAAATAATTTATATTATCTTTTTCTGATGTTATAAGCGAGACAAATAAATTTTATGAATATTTATTTATTTATTTATTTATTTTTTTTTTTTATAAATTAATTATGTAATACTAAGATTGATATTAAGTGTAGCCAAGGGTACCATTATTAAGAAATTTTATTTTTAGTTTAAGTGAAAATCTGTAAGTATTTTCTCTGTGCGTGACAGCAGCGTTAACTAATTTATGAACTAACGGAAGATATTTGCGTACATTAACAATGTAATTTTTTCAAAAAATTTGCCATTCAAAAATACAAGGTGTTAACTTTCAATGCGAATATCTCGCAAATTAAAGAAGTTGGGGAAACGTCATTTATTACAAATGTTATATAGTTAGGGGGAACTAGAACCACCATATTTCAGTGAAGGAGTGAGTCTCACCCCTTAGGCGCGACACACTCCAACTTTAAAATGTCAAATGGCACTACCCCTTTTGTTATACCTCAAATGAAAGGTCTCATTTAGTAGTATTCACCTGTACAAGAATTTTTTTTATTCAGTACAGGGTGTAACAAAAACATGAATTCGAATAAAATAAACTGTATTTTGTTAAAATGGTATTTTATTTGATCAGATAATTCAAAATGCAAAACGATATTATAATCGATTTTCAAACTCCATTATTGTTATTAAGATGATATTTTATTTCATTAGATGGTCAACATGCATTCCATTTTTTGTAAATAAGAAAACTTCAAATTCCATTCTAAACTTTTGGAGCACTTATCTGAGAATAAAAAATAGCATTGAATTTATCGGGTACGTACCTACCTATCAATGTTTGTAAAAAATTTAGTCGTTTGTGCAAGGTTGTACTGCAAAGTCAGAACTGTCTAATTGAAGAAATACGAGTATAATTTTTATTTTCTATTCATCATGGTCTACAGTTTGGCTGAAAGAATTCAGATGGTGTTTATTTATGGTTTAGAAAATCGTTGTGCCTTAAGAACTGCTGCAGCATTTAACGAAATAAACCCCGGAAAAATTAGAATTCTATACAAATTTATATTTTATAGATTTCTTCTTAAAATAGAAATACAAATTTACACTCAGAAAACTCAACATCCAAACGGATAGATAACTAACAACTTCTAATATCTTCTCCTACTTGCTAGTAGATGGAGTTAATCTCAATGTAAGTGAATTTCGACATATTGAAAACTAACGATTGATCAAAGTGTTTATGTTTAGTTTTCAGATTTGAGATGATCTGCTTTTTATTTCTGTTTCCTATTATGTTAAATATGTTCTGGTAAGTTGAATTATTTCACTAGTATTTTATAATGAGTACCTTTGATGTTATCCTTGTCCTTATGAAGTAATTAGCATTGAGTTTTTTTTTTCCTAGTTCGGTGTCACTAAGAAATGTTCGACGTCTGACTGGAGATAGTTTCCGCCTGCAGCATGAATACATGTCTAAAAGTTTCAAAAAAACCTGGACTGCTCTTGCCTCGTAGGTATGTTCTTTAACATCACTTGTATATTAACTTTTCACTTTTAATATTATGTGTAACTTGTTTAAAATACATTCTATATTTACAGGGACATATATTTGTTATTTAGGTGATTTTTGTTCTCTGTTTTTATGTAAAAATTTTATAATTTTTTTAGAACCGAGGAAATTACGTCTTCCCGTCTCAAAATTTCTATCGCAAGCTTCCTTTTTACCAAGAATCTAATTAAGTTATCTTAAAAAATAACATGGCCAATCAAGTTTATGCTGTTTGGAGATATTTGAAATTTTGAATATTCTCTTTTATACAAGTAAGTTTATTTTGACTATTTATACTTATACTAGAGTTTATTGAAAATCGTAATCCATTATTTTTAAAATAGTTTTATTTAAAACTGTGTTTTAAATTAGAGTTATGTCATTTGAAATTCCGGTTGGTAGCCCTGTTACCAAAATGTATATTGTCAAAGTGTCAAACTATTTCACGTTACAGGGTCTATCAAAATATTTCTACAAAATCATATTTCTTTATTATATTTCAAATTTTAATTTTAGTATTCTATTAAATTTAATAGTTTTTTAAAATACATTACAATATTATACAAATTCAATTTTTAAGAAAATAAAGAAAACAATCTATATTCACTACATCATTGGAATCCAAACTTACCACTCATACCCACGGTTCGTGGACACCACGGTGGTTTCATCACAATTAGGCATTCCAAACTGAATGGCTACCAGTGGGTTTTGACGGGTTATGATATGGCAAAATTATGGCAACCCTGTAGGCCTGGTGATTTGACAAGGTCAATGAAATAGATAGTTACATAGATTGATCATCCATATTTTTTAAAATAAACATAAGCTTATGCCTTGAAGTAAAAATGTAAGCAATTATTTTTTTTTTTAATATCTAAAGGCTAAAAATTGGTTTTAAAACACGTTTTTGCTAAACCGATTCAAATTAATAAATATTTGCAGGCAATATGGCCGCTCGTAAACGACCAGGGGTCCTATTCTTGAATGTCTATTAAAAATGTCGCATTCGTCATAATGTCTATTACTAATGTCTATCAAAATGTCGATCGACTGACACTATCCATATTCTCAAATTAAAATCGATAATTTGTAATCGGTGACATATTTGGCGAATGGTAACATCTGGCAACATTGGATAGAAACATACAAGACGAGTATATTACAGCACACAATTACTTGAAGGATCCCTTAGTTATACAAAGTAATACTGCAAATATATTCCAAATATGTCTTTTTGATAAATACTAATTAGAAAGTAGAGTAAATATAATCTTTTAACTAAAATTTCACAAGGGATTAAATAGAAAATTGGAAGTACAATTTGGTAAGAGATTAAATAGTAGAAAGAAGAAATATATTATTATTACATAAAATGTCTGTGATATAATCTTTTTACCTGCGATTTGAAAAAATAGAACTATATAAATTTCTTAATGACAGGTATTACATCTCTTTCATGGGCCGATTCCTTAAAGAGCAAAAAAGGCCCTTTTAGCACATTGATGCTTTTTCCAAAGGTTGTTTCGCATTTCTTATTCTCAAGGGCCCACA